TGTTTACCCAGCAAATTCTCCTTGCCTGGCTTTATTTTCCATCGCTATGGCCTCCCATTCGCCTGCCCTCTTTCTGTTCTGGCTCCAGCCTGGGCGGCTCCCGCTCCTCAGCCTTCTTCCTGCTGCTTAAAGTGATCACCACGGATGCCCACGGGAAAGGGCAGTGAGACCAGAGGGAACCACAGGCCACGGGTTTGGGACGGGAAAGAGAGCCGTGAACAAGGAGGCAATAAAAGCTTGCTCTGAACAGGGCTGAAACTTCCACAGGGCTGGCCAGGAAAATCACCAGGACGCCAGGCCCCGGGGCAGTTTTTCCAGAACTGCAGCGCTCTGGTTCCCAACCAGCTCTGCCAATGAACACGCAGCAAGGGTGACCCCCGTGGGCCAGAGACGCAGATGTTCTATGGAAAGGGGGCCCTTGTCCGTGGAAAGTCGGCTTCGTGGTGCAGAGCCGGGAAGTGTGCAGCAAGGCCCAGGCAGCACTGCAGGAAGGAGGAAGCAGCCTGGCCGAGCCCCACGCCTGCCCAGTGGGGACCTCCAGACCTGCTCCCTGTCTCCTCTCCATGCCATCGGCTTCTCTTTGTATCTTTTCCTGATGCCTCTGCACCCCAATCCACCGAGGATATGAGTAGAGTTTAAAACCTGACGCAGGTATCAAGCACAGCAGGACTGTGCCCTCCCAGAGAGTTGCTGTGTGGAGCCCTGGGCGGAAGCTCCCATGCCACACCCCATCCTGTGCCCCAGGGCCAGGGACACCTGTTTCCTCTCCAGAAAGGAGACTAAGGCACCCACCACGAGCCCAACACCAGGTGACCTGAAGACAGGCCACGGCCGCAGTGCCGGAGCCCAGCCTCCAACCAAAAGGACCGGAGCTGTGTCTCCCCTGGGCGGGTTCTCTAATCCACCGCCCCTGCGCAACACAGGATCAAAGCGGGTCTGTCTTCTGCAGAGACTGCAGTTGGCTCTGCGGAGGCAGAAACCACTCCGTAAGCCTCTGACAGTCTCTGTAGATGGACTTTAGGCAGCAAACATCTCACAGAAGCACAGGGCTTTAACTGCCAACCACTGACTCCACGTCCCAGTTCCGTCAGAGGTCACTGCGTGGCCTCAGGAGATCTGCTGTGCTCTTCTGGGCCTGAAAAAGCACGGCTGAGAACAGCCATCTCAGATGGTGTCTGTGAGTCGGCCTGCACGTCCCTGGATCTGATGCCTCCTCCTCAAACGCGTGACCGAGTCTGCGCAGACCACAGACAGCCATCCCACAGCCGTCAGTGTGAACGGTGAAGCCAGGGGATCCCTCGGCCACACAGAGGCTGAGGTGTTGGCGGCCACTGGCTGGGCGGCAGAGGACACGGGTGCCAAGGGAGGGGAACCACAGACAGCGAGCTCTGTGCTCACCACATAGGTGGCTCAAGGCCGGCAGGGCCCTGTTTCCCTAACACCGGTACCAGCGGCTTCACCAGCAGAGCGTCCACTGCTACTCTACACTGCTGGGTTCAAAAGAGGAAATTTCAGCCTCGGAATAACACATTTCGATGAGCAAAGTACATGCAGACTAGGCTGCGACTTCAGTTTCCTCAGTTTCTGGTCCTGGGTGAATGAACTCACTGGCTTCCGCTGTCTCCTCTTGAGCCAGGAGCCCAGGACCCTCCGCCCACACACGGCGAGTGTGGGGCATCTGGGTCCAGACCTGCACTGCAGACTCATTCACCTGGGACTGGCTGGTCCTGTGGGCTGGACTCCAGAGTGGGCGGCGATGTGCTTCCCTGATGTTATCAGAAAGGCACCTCTAACACGAAGGGGAACAAGCAAACCGCCGTAACAGGTCTGTGCCTCCCCTCCCGGTCCCCTCCATGAGCGACCCCTGGGCACAGCGGGAGAGCCGCACTAGAAGGTAAAGCGAGCGCTTCCTCACCCCGACCGCCTCCCGTGCCCAGATCTGAGAACCCGGGCCCCCACCCCTCCGGCAAGGCCCACCCACCCGAGGGCAGCCACCATCCCAGCTTCACACAGCGCATTCCTGGAGCACAGCTGGGATCTGGCTGGGGCTCTCTATGCAGACAAGGATGAGAATAAAAGCATTAGGCTCTGCTTCCCGGGGCCTCACACTGTCCTCTGCAAATCTCCACCAGAAGGGCTCGCTCTACCTTTGAAATATTCCAGAGCTCGAGAGTTTAAACCAGGCCACGCTGATTTTGTGGGCTTTTCCAGGCTTTGACAGCGTAATTATATGCAGGAGTCTGTGCCACCAATTTCCTCTTGGCTGAAACGTTTCACATCTTTTCTAAGCACACGTTGGGGTTAGGTTTGGGGTTTTTTTGAGTATATGCTATGAATAAGACACGAGCTTACACCCAGCCGTAGGAACCTTTCCACCACGGGAAGATTTCTTTGTCCAAAGTTCAGCTGTGACTATTATGTAGCCTCGAATACACATGCACAAACCTAGCTCCAGATCAGGTCAGCCAGAACCACAGAATGTGATCAACAAATGCAAACTAGCCCCGCTGCTGAAAGGTTCAAAGGAAGAAAATAAAATAATTCAAGGAACACCAAAAGGTACAATGATTTCCGTGGTCTTTCTGTTTTCCCAGGCCTTCTCACTGTGTAACAAACAGCCGATGTCTCCGGGCTGCAGACAGGCCCGTGTTCTTTCGAAGACAGACAACTCGAGACCAAGTGTCAGCTCTGCTATTTTGTGAATGAAACATGAGATATTCTGTCTCGAGTAAATAAATTCACTAAAGTATGACCCTCACAGGGCACTTAACCTCGCACCCTCAGTTTCCTCATTTTTAAACTAAAGGCAAAGCACTCCTATGTTTTCATAAAGATGCAAGCAAAGAATGCAGGCTTCGATGGAAGCCTGGCAAATAAAAAGCGCTCCATAAATGCTTGCTCGCGGACTGTCCGACTGCTACACATGGCTGCCTCCCACCGAAGTGCAGAAGGTGCCACGCAGCCTCCTGGCCCCGGGTGGGAGCTGAGATCCACAGACCCTCGTGGGTCCCACGGAAACGGACAAGGAAGAGCGGAATGGCCACGCATCGATTCCTACTCCGCAGAGCATGCCCTGCCGGCTGTGACCTTCAATCCCCACCAGGGTCACGGTGACCCTTCACTGAGCTGAGGAAGGCGCTCCACAGAGCCGCCTGAACAACAGCTGAGTCCTGCTGTCGGGGGTCTAGGAAAGGACTTCTGGCGGCCCTCACCCAAGGCAGCGCCTCCAGATGTCACTGAAATGCTAAAGATTCACACCCAGGCCGGGTGGCACACGCCCATAATCCCAGAACTCTGGAAGGCTGAGGCAGGAGGGTCTGTCAAAGTCAAGACCAAACAGGTGAACTCAGCAATTTATCAAACCCTGTTTCAGAATTTGAGGAGGAGGATGGCTCGGTGCAAACACAAATGTTGAAGACATACAGAGCCCTCTATTCTTATGAAGGTAATCAATACTTTTCTCAAATAAAACACATTCCCACTTGAATTCCAAAAGATGCATGTTTTCACACCTACTCTTTACCTTCTACATTACAGGGTTCTAACATCTCTTTCCTTAATACAAAGTCTCCACTTTTGAAGAAAGACACTATTTTCCACCCGGCTAGGAGCACTGAAATGACAGAGCGCCGTGTAGGGAGTTTTCATAAGGTTACTTGGGAACACACTTCAAAACTCAGACTGCACACTTACTCTTTATAAATAGAGAAAAACAACATTTTCACCTGTGGTGCTCTCGGTGCATTTAATATTACTTGGTCAGAATAATTTCCTCTGAAATCTTAAGAGAATAAGATGAAATAACCTGATACAGACAAGAGAAAAGACAGAAGGAGACTGCACACACAGACCCACAGAGGCACCCACAGGCACACACTGAATGTGCAAACCTACAACTGAGTTGGCACCGAAACTCAGCAGCTCCTTGTCCACAGGTTCTGCAGCAGAGATTAACATAGCAGCTCACAGACACAGACGCCAAATAGTTGTCTCAGCGATTCTTGGTGGCCAGCCTTATTTATCACCTCAGCAAATGAGACGCACTTTACTGTTTTGGAACCTGAACGTCACGCCACAGGTGCAGGCACTCACCTCAGGAGCCTCCCCAGGAATCACGGCCTTGCCCTGACCTCGTCTCTGGCCAGGAGGAAGTCGGGCCTAAGCCCAGAGGGCCTGGCTTCCACTTGTACAGAGACGACGGCCTCTAGTCCCGAGCGACATGCTGGTCTGGTAACGGCTAATCATCCATCACGTGGGCCTTGCATGTCACTGCCAATGTATTTCTGACAGCATTTTGCAATGTGCAGTTTTGAACCAAGGTTCACCAAAAGTGACTGGCATGTAAAACAGCCTTTAGCAGAAATGCTGCTCTGAATCTATACTTCATCTCAGATATTCTTATTGCTGTAACTTATATCCCCCAAGTGCTTTCTCATATTAAGCTGCAAAGACTAGAAACAAACTCTGTTTGAGTTAACTGAGCATCCACAGCCCAGGGACACCGTCTAGGGAAGAGGAATTCTCCTTTCTGATGCAGGCCCCCATCAGAAAGGAAGACAGTGCTGGAGAGCTGGGGCGCAAAGCAGGGGACCCGAGGTGACAGCTGTCCTCACCTTTTCCTCTGTGGCTGTCCTCTCTCCCGGCACTACCTTGGCCCTGACCTGTGCACCTGAACGTCATCCCGCCCCTCCTCCTGCAGAGCTCAGGAGACGAACCAACACTCAGTGTGGCGGTGACAGCCGCTGGCCGGGCGGACACTGCAAGCTGTGACTCTCACTGAAATGGTGGCTTAAACGTCCTCTCCCAGTTTCCTCCTGGGAGGGTGACTTCAAAGGAAGAATTCTCAGCCTGATGAAATGGGAATTGCCCAAACCCACGAAGCTCAGAAATTCAGCTGAGGTCAGAGCACCAACTATTGGTGAAAGGCAACTTGTAGGATCTGGCCGGTGACCCCGTGCAGTGGCTCCACCCACCCGGGGAAGCGGGCGCTGCACACTCACCAGGCACACACACATGATGCAGGGGTTGTCTGTGATGAACGGGATCTGGAGCTCCTCCCCTTCATTTTCACATTTTGCAACAGAACCTGCAATGAAGGAATGTTTGAACACTTGCGTTCTGCTCAGGGGCCTTACCATGAAATCTTCAGGGGTCACACAGCCCTTCTTGACACACTGCCCACATTTCAGAAATCCTTAATGAGTTTCAAGTCATCAGATTTACCAAAACAAATCTCCCCAAATCTATTTTAAATATCTGTATTTTAAAGTCCTTAAAGGAAAAAGCTAGCGTGGGTAATTTTCTGCTCGACCTGGTTTAGGCAAACTCCGAGTATCTCGCTGGGTGCTGAGTAACGTCTCCTCCTCTGGGAAGTCATGTCAACGACAAGCACACCCGCGCACACAGACATTCAGATCCGGGCCTCAGGGAAGGTTTTCCTGCGACCAGACGGAGGCCTTCACAGGACAGGGCTCAGCCTGGCCATGCAGGGCTGGGGGAGCCCTCTCTCTCTGGGAGGGGACTAGGATTCCTTTCTGCCCCTCAGCAGGGCGTAGCCTGCTCCTCCTGGCCTCCTGTCCACCCAGGCGTCCTCACCAGGCAGACAGACGAGAGGGACAGCTTCGGGTGGGCACTCTGGGGACGCTGTGTCATCCCCCTAGGGAGGGGAAGGATGGGGCTTCGGGTTCACAAGGACATGAGGGGCCGCAGTCAGAGCAAGCACCAACCACCCTGACACCTCACCACAGGTCCCCAGCCCAGGTCCCCTCAGTCCCTGATCCCTGGCCCCAGTCCCCTGTGCTCTTCTACCCCTGCTCCCCACCCTCTGCCCCCATCCCCAGCTGCTCCCTGCTCCCTTTCCTCCTGCTCCCCCGTTCCCTGCTCCCCCGCCCCCTCCCAGGCTCCCCAGTTCCCTCTTCCCTGGCCCCTGGTCCCCCACATTCAGCTCCTATAGTCCCCCACTCCAGT